AAAGGCCCCAGCCTCACAAAGGGGATTATTACCCTTCTAAAAGAAGCTCAGATGAGTTCCTTTGCCCCTTGTGCTATGTGAAGATACACTGAAGTTGTCATCTATAAAGAATGGGTCCTCACCAGGCATCGAACTTATGGTTCCTTGATCTTGGATTTCTCAGCCTTCAGAATTGTGAGAAATAAATTTCTGTTCTTTATAAATTACTTAGTCCATGACATTTTGTTGTAGTAACCTGGAAAATGACAAGCCCCAGGAAAGTCATGCAGCCAGAAGTACATTTTGTGTACAGAAATGCCTTTGAAAGGAATCTCCTAATTGAAATCCTCAACATTTTACTTTCTGAGCTATTCCCTTTGGGGAAAATGTGTGGCCTACAGAAGAATGTAGATCTCTTGGTTCTAGTAAAAGTATGATTACCATTTTTCAAATTGAACTACCTTATTTGTTCCAATTTGACATGCTGTATAAAAACCTCATATGTCCTTGAAATTTGTTTCAAGGACATGGGTTTGGAGGCTAGAAGACAGGGTCTAGTAATTAATTCCTATGTTAGAATAAATGGCCATAGCCTGAAGGAACACTGGAATCTACATGAGCTCCCAAATAAATCACAGATCACACAATCAATATTACAAAATGGCTGACTGTGTTTATTTTGGCTGAAATCTCTGCCTCTTCATTGCACTTCTCTGAAGGTGTCCCTAGTTAGCTAATAGGTTTTGTGAAATGTTCAAAATAAATTCTCTGTGACTCTCCTTCACTGCAAATATATGATGTGCACTTTTTCACTGGGGGTGGGGGTGGGGAGGGTAGAGGAAGAGAATATAAGAAAATCAAATAAACAATAGCAATTTTGAAAGTCCCTAAAGGTTGACTTCTACAGCACTTACTACCTGGTTGACTCATTTAGCACCTAATAGAGTAGCTTGTTCTGGACCTGTTTCATGTTTGTATGTTTTGTCTTCCACCAACTCGAAGGATTTGCTGCTAGCGTGCAGCAACAGGAGGGCCTCACTTGTCTTGTAAAATTGAATAGACACTTTAAAATATAATTAGACATATTCTTTAAAAAGATAAATAATGCTGGAGAGAAAAACAACAGCTACCAAACACTAAGGGTATATGAACTTTAAAAAGTGACTTTAGTTAATAATAACGTACCCATTTTAGCTTGTTGTTTGTAATGAGCATACCATAGTAACCTAAGTTGTTAATGATAAGAGAAATTGGGTGTAAGAATAGAAACTCTCTATATCTTTATAAACTCTACTCCATAAGTATGTACAAATATTTTGTCAATTTTGAAAAGAATATCTTATGAAAAACAAAAACTAATGAGTGCCATGAATCTAAATAAGAAATAATGAAAAATAAATTTGTCATGTTGAACTAAAAATGTAAAGTTTTTCTAAAAAGGTAGCTAAAATAAAAAAATTAAATATCCACTTTCTATATAATTCAGCCACTCCATGTCTTGGTACTCAGCATATATTATGTGCACATAAAGGCATGTATATGAATTTTCATAGAAACATTATTTATAATAGTCCCAAACTGGAAAAAACTCAAATGTCCATCAACAACTTAATGAACAACTAAACTGTTGTATAGCCGTATAACAGTATTCAATAAAAACGGAATCAACTACTCATAGATACAGCAAGATGAATGCATCTCAAAATAACTATGTTAAATGAAATAATCTAGACAAAAACCAAGTACCTACTATATGATTCTGTTTATATAAAACTCTGGAAAATTCAGAGTGATTTATAGTAACAAGAAGATTAGTGTGGTGGGAAGAATTTCAAAGGGGCGGCAGGAAATGAGGGGTGATATCTTCTTTATGGCGATGGTTTCACAAGTGTATACACATATCAATCAACCTGTATAGACTGTGCACTTTAAATTGTGTGTTGTTTATTGCATGCCAATTATACCCCAATAAGCCTGTTTATTTTTTTAAAAAACTACTCACACATGTATAAAAAATGGGAGATAATTACCTTAGAGTCATATAATTACCATCCTTTGTTATGAAACACAACTTTGACCTATATGGTAGTAGAAATTCTGCTACTAACTGACTGTGGACCAGTGTATCAGTCCCCTTTTGGGGACTAGTTTATTTCACAGAATAAAAAGAAGAGTGACTCTTAAGGTCTTTTAGAGATAGCTATATTGATGATAATCCTAAACATGTATCTTCTAAAATGATTTAAATGAAATTCAATTGCAGTAATTTAAAATAAATATCAACTTGAAATTGCCGAACAAATTGTTACTGATTAAGAATCTTAAAGTTCAAATGGGAATTAATACTTAAGAATTGCCAGGTGCCAGTGGCTCATGCCTATAACCCTAGCTACTCAGGAGGCAGAGATCAGGAGGATCACAGTTTGAAGCCATATTTGGTGGATTGTACTAAGACCCTTTCTTGAAAATATGCAATGTAAAACAGAGCTGGTAGAGTGGCTCAGGCATAGAGTGCCTACTTAGCAAGCATGAGGCCATAAGTTTAAACCCGAGTACTGCCAAAAATACTTACAGAATTATTTGCAACATTTAATTACTTTTTTCTGAAAATTACTGTGTGCCAGGTGACCAATAAGTGATTTTTGAAAATCATCTTTATTGAAATAAAATTCACATACGACACAATTCGCTACTGAAAGTGTATATTTCATTATTTTTTAGGATATGTGTAACCATCACCACAGTTGATTCTATAACATTTAATCTTCTCAAAACAATGTTAGCCTGCTGAATGGGTATAGGATTTTCTTTTGGGGTAATGAAAATGTTTCGGAACCAGATAGTTGCGGTGGTTGCATAACATTGTGAATGTATGAAATGCCACTAAAAATTGCGTATTTCATGTTAAGCTGCATTTTGCTACATATATATAAGAATACACCTATGCAACTTTAGCTATCACACCCCTATCACTCTATCCCACCTATCAGTCCTAAAAAACAGTAATATACTTTCCATTTTTATAGATTTGCCTATTCTGGACATTTCACACAAATGAAATCATGTTATATATGAACTTTTTGTCAATGCCTTCTTTTACAGTATATAATGTTTCCAAGGTACATCCCTATTACAGTATATATCAGTACTTCAAACTTTTCTATGACAAATAATACTCAATTATATGAACATACCACATTTTATTTACCCATTTATCAGTTGATAGCCATTTAAGGTCATTTCCACCTTTTGTCTGTGATAAATAATGCCACCATGAACCTTCATGTACAAGTTTTGTGTGGATGTATGTTCGGATTCCTCTGGTTATATACTTAGGAGGTAGACTGCTGTGCTACATGGCAAAAACACTAAACTTGAACATATCAGGACTCGCCAGACTGTGATCCCCAGTTGTTGTACAGATTTATGTTTCTATTAGCAGTGCATGAAATTTTCAATTTCCCCACATCTTCACCAACATTTTATTTATTCAGATCAGTTTAAATGACTCAATTTTCTTCAATAGCGAGTACACTAATTGTTTAGTTGACAATTATTGAACATTTGCTACATGTGAGAAATTATAGACATTTTTACACATATTATCTCATTTAATTGCATTCTTTCCTTGAATAGCCTTATAAAGTAAGTTCACTTTGCTAAATGGCAAACCCAGGACCACCTCCCTCCCCCCACTCAAATCAGTCTTATACTAAATTCTCAGGCTCTCTATTATCCTAATACTGTGCTGCTTTTATAGCCTGTTTTTTTTTTACTTAAGCCATCTTACTGAAGGTGGTCTGACTTACATTGGCCCTGATGACTAATGACATTAAGCACATTTTTATGTATATTTTTCTATTAAAATGCTCCTGTAGTTAATATTTTTCATATGTTCTTGGCGTTCACAGATCCTCAATGCTTTAAACCCCCAGAGTAATCAGTTGGCACATGGAAAGAGGATGGTTATGGGAGTAATTATAAATTATATTTAATCATAATATACATTATAAAGTGTACATGTTTCAATTAAAAACTGAGCTCAGCATGGTGTCATGCACCAGTAGTCCCAATGACTTGGGAAGCTGAGTCAAGAGGATCCCTTGAGCCTGTCTGAGAAAAGGCTGGGCAATGCAGCAAGACAATTAAAAAAGAGAAAGACAAAGGAAGGAAGAAGGAAGGAAGGAAGGAAGGAAGGAAGGAAGGAAGGAAGGAAAGAAGGAAGGAAAACAAATACATTTTAATATGAATTGAACTAGATGCTAGATTGGTTTTCACTACATAAGTCTTAGTGGGGGTGGAGGGAGAGTGTCGCATTTCCTATCAGAAAGAGGAAGATACACTGCATATCAACATCTTTGAAGCCAAAAGGAAATTCCACAGACTGAGTGAGGTAGGAAAGTAACCAACACTTTGTATTCAAACTTTTTTCATTAGAATGAAAAAAATCTCATTGATATCTATTCAGTAGGAGTATATGTACTGGAAGAGTGAAAAAAGGTCTAGAGAGGTGCTAGGTTGAAGGATTAGTCATTTTCAGGATAAGCAATGGACACTGGGAAAAATAAACAGTATTCATTAAGAGTCAACATTATTTTGGCAGAGTATCAGTTTACTACTGCCACCACAGTTTTACACTTACGACATATGAAAGCTGTCTGTTCCCAACAGAGTAACTGAACATTTGATGAATCATCTGCGAAGTTCGGACATTTGCTGTGACTGGATGGAGTAACAGTGGCCTAAGCATTGGAAACTCAAAGGAATTTGCTTAGATAGCTTTGAGAGGTCATTATACTCTGATGGCATATTCTTAGAACCTCAGAAAAACCTACTTATATTAGAAGCTTACAAGTTTGCATTTCTTAAGGGAATCACTCTTGGTCTCATCAACAGATCAGCTTTTAGAAAATGTAATGATTTGAAGTTGCAATAAAAATCTTAGGCCGAGTCCCTTCTAAGATATTTTATTGTGAAACTGCAAAGACAGCAAAGAAAAATAAGCAATCCAAGTTTTGTACCTTATTTCACCTTCTCTAATGTGACCTGCCAGTTCTTCAATAAATTTCTCCCCTTTCATCCAGTAGATCATTGGCCCAGACTCTCCACTGAATCCAAAGAATGCTTTGCAAGGGATGTTCAGAGGCTTACCTGAAAATGAGAGAAAAAGAAATAAGCAAATGACATCTGGTTATCACTGGGAGACAAGGTCAGCCATTTAATATCTAAACGAAAATGCAGAGGTGGTTCATTTTTCAACTCTTCTTCCTATCATCTTTTTTTTATTGGTGGTACTGGGATTTAAACTCTTGGTCTTGTACTTACTAGGCAGGCACTCTACCACTAGAGCCATGCCCTCATCCCCAGTTTTGCTTTTTAGCTTTTTTTTCTGATAGGGTCTTGTGTTTTTGCCCAGGGATAGCCTTAGACCACAGTCCTACCTGTGCTTCACATATAGCTGGTATGGCAAGTGTAATCCATCAAGCAAAGCTTATTGGCTGAGATGGAGTCTTGTAACTTTTTGTGTTGGCTGGCCTCAAACTGTAATCCTCCCAATTTCTTCCTCCTCAGTAGCTGAAATTGTAGGGGTGAACCACCACACTTAGCCCCTTGCAATCATCTTATCATTGTACATGAGAAAAAATAAACTATTATTAGGGCTTGGAAATTCAAGCTCTTATAAAAAAATGAAAAAAATATAGTTGCTCAGTTTTTAAAACATTTTATTTTTATTGCCTTTCTCCCAGAAACTAACATGAAAGAATCAAATAAAAATAATTCCTTATAAGTTTTCTTTTTGAGATTATTAAGTACTGCTTACTTGAACTTGACTTTCAAACTAACATTATTCAAGAAATGCAAGTTAATTATGAATTGGTAAGAAGACATATCATAATACACTACCCACTATTAAGAGCATGCAGGGATTTTTTTCATTCTGAGTTTTTATCATTTTAAGAAAAATTGAATAGTACAAACAATGATGGTTTATTGTAGGTGTCAACTTGAGTGGATTAAGGGTTGGCTAGATAACTGGTAAACACTATTTCTGATGTCTGTGAGGGTGTTTGAGAACAGATTGGCATTTGAAGTGGTGGACTGAGTGAGCACCATTCACACTGCTTAAGGCCAAGGAAGAATTTAAAAAAAAACAGAGGAAAGGAAAATTGTCTGTCCTGGAGCTGGGATACCCTTCTTATTTTGCCTTTGGACATAAGAATTCCAAGTTCTCTGTCTTTGGACTTAAGGATTTGCATCAGCAGCCATCAGAATCCTTGGGCCTTTGATTTTGGACTAAGAGCTACAACAACAGCTTCCTTAGCTCTGAGGTGTTACCACTGAGACTGAACCATGCTACTTTCCTGGCCCTCCAGCTTGTAGTACCATATTGTGGGACTTTTCAACCTCCATAATCAACTGAGCTAATTCCCTTAATAAGTTATCTATTTAACTATCTTTATAGCTCTCTATGTATCTATCTATCATTTATCAACTCATCAGTTCTGTCTCTCTGGAGAAACCTGACTAATTCATAAGCCAATAGAAAAATTTTGAATATCTATAAACAGTACATGCAGAAAAAAACTATCTTACTATACTGTTTGTATCACTCACGGTGTTTAAACAATTTTAGGCAGTATTTCAGTATTTTTATTATTTTAACTGTAAATTTCTCAACAAATATATAACCAATTATATTTTTTCTGGTATTGAGTACATTTTCTTCTTGAAAATAGACCAATAAAGGAAGAATGGTACAGATAACACAAACCTGACATTTGACACAGGAATCCCCCAATTCATAAATTATATCATAGCATTTTCACCATAAAGTATATTTTTGTCCTAGGTTAGAGTACTAGGTAAAGGAATTTTATAATATTTTTCCTTGTGGAGATTATGGTAGACTTTTTGCCATTATCATTCTTAACCATGAGAAACACTCCATTCTACAACTAAATTGGTCCAAAACTGCCACATTATAAGAACCACTACTTTCTGAAACCAAATTCCTTTAATCACCAGAATTAGGAATTGGCTTTCTCTGAGTACTGTTTTCACAAAGAAATAATTTGTTATGAATTAATATCTACATTAAGACAAACTGGAGATTAAGAAAGTCTCATATATACATGCAAGCTTGCTCTGCTGGGCTTATCTTTAAGTGATTTGTTAGTAAATATTAGTTTTATTGTAGCTTAAATTTATCCCTCAGCAAAATGACTTGTCCTGGAACTTCTGATTTTTCCATAGTTGTCAAGTCTATCAGTGTCAAGAGTCTGTCCTAAGACTATAGAAAGTGGAGAGATCTCCCATGCTCATGGATTGGTAGAATCAACATAGTAAAAATGTCGATACTCCCCAAAGTAATCTACATGTTTAATGCAATTCCCATCAAAATTCCAATGACATTCATTAAAGAGATTGAAAAATCTACTGTGAAATTTATATGGAAACACAACAGGCCACGAATAGCCAAGGCAATACTCAGTCAAAAGAACAATGCAGGAGGTATCACAATACCTGACTTCAAACTATATTACAAAGCAATAACAATAAAAACAGCATGGTACTGGCACAAAAACAGACATGAAGACCAGTGGAACAGCATAGAGGATCCAGATATGAAGCCACACAACTATGAGCAACTTATCTTTGACAAAGGAGCTAAAAATATACGATGGAGAAATAGCAGCCTCTTCAACAAAAACTGCTGGGAAAACTGGTTAGCAGTCTGCAAAAAACTGAAACTAGATCCATGTATATCACCCTATACCAAGATTAACTCAAAATGGATCAAGGATCTTAATATCAGACCCCAAACTCTTAAGTTGATACAAGAAAGAGTAGGAAATACTCTGGAGTTAGTAGGTATAGGTAAGAACTTTCTCAATGAAACCCCAGCAGCACAGCAACTAAGAGATAGCATAGATAAATGGGACCTCATAAAACTAAAAAGCTTCTGTTCATCAAAAGAAATGGTCTCTAAACTGAAGAGAACACCCACAGAGTGGGAGAAAATATTTGCCAACTATACATCAGACAAAGGACTGATAACCAGAATATACAGGGAACTTAAAAAACTAAATTCTCCCAAAACTAATGAACCAATAAAGAAATGGGCAGTGAACTAAACAGAACTTTCTCAAAAGAAGAAATTCAAATGGCCAGAAAACACATGAAAAAATGCTCACCATCTCTAGCAATAAAGGAAATGCAAATTAAAACCACACTAAGATTCCACCTCACCCCTGTTAGAATAGCCATCATCAGCAACACCACCAACAACAGGTGTTGCGAGGATGCGGGGAAAAAGGAACCCTCTTACACTGTTGGTGGGAATGTAGACTAGTACAACCACTCTGGAAAAAAATTTGGAGGCTACTTAAAAAGCTGGACATCGATCTACCATTTGATCCAGCAATACCACTCTTGGGGATATACCCAAAAGACTGTTACTCCAGAGGCACCTGCACATCCATGTTTATTGCGGCACTATTCACAATAGCCAAGTTATGGAAACAGCCAAGATGCCCCAGCACTGACGAATGGATTAAGAAAATGTGGTATCTATACACAATGGAATTTTATGCAGCCATGAAGAAGAACGAAATGTTATCATTCGCTGGTAAATGGATGGAATTGGAGAACATCATTCTGAGTGAGGTTAGCCTGGCCCAAAAGACCAAAAATCGTATGTTCTCCCTCATATGTGGACATTAGATCAAGGGCAAACACAACAAGGGGATTGGACTATGAGCACATGATAAAAGCGAGAGCACACAAGGGAGGGGTGAGGATAGGTAAGACACCTAAAAAACTAGCTAGCATTTGTTGCCCTTAATGCAGAGAAACTAAAGCAGATACCTTAAAGCAACTGAGGCCAATAGGAAAAGGGGACCAGGAACTAGAGAAAAGGTTAGATCAAAAAGAATTAACCTAGAAGGTAACACCCATGCACAGGAAATCAATGTGAGTCAATGCCCTGTATAGCTATCCTTATCTCAACCAGCAAACCCCCTTGTTCCTTCCTATTATTGCTTATACTCTCTCTACAACAAAATTAGAGATAAGGGCAAAATAGTTTCTGCTGGGTATTGAGGGGGGGAGCGGGAGGGGTGGAGTGGGTGGTAAGGGAGGGGGTGGGGGCAGGGGGGAGAAATGAACCAAGCCTTGTATGCACATATGAATGAATAAAAAAAAGAAAAAAATGAAAAAAAAAAAAAGAGTCTGTCCTATCTGTCTGACTCAAGTCTGAAATAAGGTTCACTGCTGTTGCCTTGAACATGTGCTTCACTTAAGGCTGTGTGAAAGTAAGACAGTCTTGTATAGTGGAAAGTGCACTGGACTAAGAGTCAAGAAACTTGGATCCTAGTTTTGGATCTGTCATGAAGAAACACACCGGCCCTCAACTGATTACCTAACTTTATGTCAGACAATTTCTTGCATATGTAATGAGTATGGTAATAATATTTGTGAAGCTCAGATACACAATGTATGCAAAAGTGCTTAGTAAACTCAAAAGCCTCATCAAAATTTAGCAGTGTTGTTCACCTTCTGAGGCTTGGTCAGAAGCCCAGTGTGAGGTATAATCTGATGTGGATACTGAGATGGGTATGTATTCATTTTGACCTAATCAATCTAGCCTATGGTACAATATGCTTTTGTCAACTTTCTGTAACTTCTCCTGAATTCTAAACCATACATGATTTGACATAGCAGGTCCTGAGTTCTCTAATGCTGAACACAAGTGTTTTTCTAGGGCCTGCGACCACTCAATTCCCATGAAATGAAAGTATTAAAGAAGAGCAAAACCAGATGGCAGAAATCCAGAGATTATGCTATGATAAACATTATTTATAGAGATCCCCCTTGTTAAAACTACCAGTGTATACAATTAAAGTATAAATTTTAGTCGTCATTCATTTGTGCTATGTTGAAACAGTACATCAAATAAAATACCTTTTAGTGATTCTTAACATGTGGATTCTCAGGCCTGGTTTGATTTTAATGAAGAAAAACAATTACAGCAATGTGCAAAAGGGGCCTTCTTGAGGTAGTCCATCAAAATGACAGTGCCTTTCCCTTTCTAGGAACTATACACATTGTTACTGAACCTATTGTAGTAATTTTCTCCCAAGAGAATGTTT